CCACCTCCAGCTGCAGCGGGGGCATGCCGAGCATCACCTCCATAGCAGCCGTCGGTGTCGTGCTCATTGCGCCTGTTATCATTATACAAGCAAGCCTTTGAGTCTTTCCTAATAAGGATAAGTTGGCTACAGTCTTTGCTTTGTGCCACCATAGCAAAGCTGAGTAAAGTATGATAGGTCTGACTGTCGTTGTGTACAGCCAGTATACCATTTTTGGTTTTAGTCCCCAATTCTTTCCTATCGCTCTTTTACAGGCCCATAGGCATTTGAGGGCTTTACTTGTCACGTTTTGAACGTGTTTAGTCAATGTCAGTTTATGGTCCAAAGTGACTCCAAGGTGTTTTAATTCCTTACTCAATGTCACTTGGTACCATTGATTTCCGGCATTTTTATAGCCACCTTCTTCTTCTTAGTGAAGATACACACATTGATTTTCCTAGGGTTGATGCTTAGTCCTTTAATCCTGCTGCTTAGTACCAATTCCTAAGAATATTAAACACTGTACTGAGGATATCAGAGAGGACACTCTGATGCCTCCCTCCTATGAGGATGGCAATATCGTCAGCATATCCCTGAGCATAAATGCCTGCAGTGTTTAAGGCTTCCAATAATGAGTCAGCCACAAAACACCACAGTAGCGGAGAGAGCACACCTCCCTGTGGACATCCCCCACAGGATTTAATCCACAGTTCCTTGTGCCCTATTTCTGATTTTAGAACTCTGTCCTCCAGCATTCTCCCAATCCATCTGGAGGTCATAGCGTCTATATCTTTTTTCCTTAGCGCATCATTTATGATGTTATAGGGAGTTCTATCAAAGGCACCCTCGATATCAACGAAGACGCCTATCATGATTTCACTCTGTTCTAAGGATTTCTCAATTCTTGTTACCAAGTTGTGAAGCGCCACCTCACAGGATTTTCCTGGTTGGTAGGCATATTGCTTTGAATGTATTGGACTAGTAGCCAATATGTGTTCCCTAATATGTCTGTCCAGTATCTTTTCCAATGTCTTCATTAAGAAAGATGACAGACATATTGGCCTAAATGCCTTGGGGTCTTCATAAGATTCCTTTCCTGGTTTAGGAATGTATCGCACTTTGGATATCCTCCACTTACATGGTAGATATCCCAGTGCTAGGCTACCTCTTAGAAGTTCCAGAAGGTATGGCCTTATCTCTGGGAGACCCTTCTGCAGCAGTGCTGGAAAGATCTCGTCCATTCCAGCAGATTTGAAAGGAGAGAACGAATTCACTGCCCATTCAAGTCTACTGTTTGTTATCACTCTTCTTGCCAGACCCCACATACGTGCACCAGTACCACGATCCTGTGTATTGGGGTCAAGAAGTTCATTTACTGTCATAAAACAATTTGGGAAATGAGCTTTTGCTACCACACTCAATGTTTCCATCTTATTAATGGTGTGCTTATCGTCATATTTGAGTGTTCCCATTATACCTGTATTGGTTTGTTTTGACAGTATTTTGTTTACCTTACATACCGCCGGCATGTTGTCCACCTCCAGACAAAACCTTTTCCAGGCTTGTCTTTTGGCTTTCCTGACAGATTTGTGATATTCAGTAAGAGATTTCCTATAGGTATCCCAATTGCCAGATTTTTTAGAAGCATTGAACAATCTCCTCATGAGTGTTCTTTGCTTTGTTAGACTATCATTCCACCAGGACACTTTCCTGTTGGTTGTAGTTTTTTTGGCTTCATTACTGGCCAAATATGCTCTAGTCATAGCATCAGTAATTGAAGTATTTAATATTTCTAATTGCCATGTATTGTGGATAACTTTGGGGCAGCATTTGACAGCCTCCTCCAAGTTAGAACTATAGGACACCCAGTTTGTTCGCTTGGGGTCTCTATATTCCACATCATGTTGTATTCTGTCAGATATATCAAACCTGATATACCTGTGATCCGAGCATGTTTCTTCATCAGAGACATGCCAGTTATCTATAAGGTCACTAGTCAATCGAGTCGCTAGTGTTATGTCTATGATCTCAGTCCTAATTCTATTACAAAAGGTAGGCTTATTCCCCCTGTTCAGAATATCAAGATCATATTTAATAATAGTCTCTAAGAGTTTCTCACCTCTTGAGTTGGTGTTTGTGCTTCCCAGATCTCGTTGTGTGCATTAGCATCCAGGGCAGCAACAATTTCCTCCTTACTCTTTAATAGTTCATCCATTCCTTCTGCAGGTTCTGGATGTTCATATGGCAGATAAACCGCCGCTATGATTAGTGATTTGTTATACCCTTGTTGGGTATATTTGGCTGCTGCAAGATCTCTAGAACAGAATTGCCATAGAGGCAGCAGTTTTAGTTTGTTTTTAAAAAGTAGGCAGGCTCTAGGATATGTGGGTGCAGATATTATTCCATACCCATGCATATTTAGTCCTTTGATCCTGCCTTCATATAGGTAAGGTTCAAGAATTAATATTATATCAATATCATCACCTTTTATGTACTGTTGCAACACTCCACATGCCGCAATGCAGTGGTGGATGTTGATCTGCAGCAGTTTCATGTGTTTTGATTGTTTATGTTCTGGAAGGTGGTTTTCCAGACGGGGCCGATGGTAGGGTTCTTCCCTCAGACTCAGTTTTCACTTTGTCTTTAGGTTTCTCCCCGCCTCTCGACCTCGCTTTCGAACCACCACCAGTGTTAGATGGGTGTTGGGAGACAGAGGTCTGGCCACCTGACTGCGACAGTCGCTGGGGTTCGCCTCTGTAACCAGTTTTCACTGGTTCCTTTGGCTTAGTCCCGCCTCCTGCCCCGGCCGACGGCCTCGACCCCGTCCTCGACGCACTCCTTCCCGAAGAGGAAGATTCCTTGTTCTCCCTCTCCTTTGATGTGCCTGCTTTCGGCGCCTCCTCTTTCATTTCCTCCGGAGCAGGTTTACTTCCTGATGCTAAAAACCTGAAGGTGATAACATATATTCCACAGCAGGCCTGCATTCCATGTTCAGTGAGGCTCTGGAGGCAGGTCTCCGGTATGTTAAATACTCCGAAGGATCCTCTTTCCAGAGCCTTGAAGTTAAACACGGTCCAGGTTTTGATCCCAGTAATAGATTGGTTCTGAATCTGGAGCCGAGTTAAATAATAATCAGCAGGTAGTGCCTTTCCTGGAAAGAAGGCTCCAATCCTGATAATTTTTGTAAGATCACCTGCTTCACAAGTTCGTAGGGTTAATCCTTCCTTAATTGTGATGCTCGGTGTTATGCTTTTAAACCATTCTACCGTATGGCTGTCTAGGCAGGATACAAGACATCCTCCGAGCTTAAAAAGCGTCCCGTCGAACTTTGGATGTATGTCTCCGCCTATTGTGAGCTCGTCAAGTTTACTGGCGATTGCTTCTTTAAGATCTTCGTATTGGTCATAAGTTAGCTGGATCTGCGGGTAGTCGACAGGAACTACCGCGACCAACTGTCCTTGCGCAACCTTTGCGTAGCTTTTGGGCCTTTCAGACTCCCTCGGTTTCTTAGCTTCCACAGCTGAGGCTCCTAGGGATTTCCTAGCTCTTTTCTCCACAGGCAGTCTTGATCTAGACCTCAACCTTTGAGGCCTCGCACTCTTAGCTGCTGGCCTACGTGGCCTCGCAAACTTAGATGCTGGCCTCTTGGATGTGTCCTTCTCTTCCCCTGCCTGTGTTATTGGGGCTTTACCCTCCGGCGCGGCAGCTTCGTTCGTTTGGCCTTTTGGGGCCCTTGCATCCTCCACTGCCTGCCTTTGAGTAGGCTCCAATTCACTAGATGTTTGCCCTTGATCTAAGGCCTCCCTTTCACGACTCTCTGCCTTGTCCGCCAGGCCTTTTGGGGCTCTTGCTTCCTCGGCAGAGTTCTCTAAAGGTGGCCTTTTCTCATCTTCGGGGCTTGATAGTTGTTGGGCCTTTGCCCTCCTCCTAACGCGCCTCTTCGCATTCCTTATCTTCCTCCACGTGGCAGGCCTCGAGTCTTCCGACTCGTGGTCCCCGCACTCCGTGTGGTCGAGTCCAGAATGCGATCGGCTTCTAACCATTTCTGGCTTGTTACTTTCTTCCACGTCCATATTCTCTTCCGTGGCCTGCACCATTGCACAAGCCACCTCCATCAATTCCTTCTCCTTAAGGTCTGTTTGGACGTGGAGTGTTCCGACATCTTCTGTTAGGGTTTTTAGTAATTCCCCTACCAGAGTTTCATCAATCTTATCTGAGGTGACCTCAGATAAGTTTAAAAGCTCCTCGGAGGACAAGTCCTCCTCGGGTACCGACGATTTATTGTTTTTGTTTTATTTTAAATTGGACATTTTGGTTCCCACGAGTATGGGGGTCAATGGAACTGCAGGTACTACCCCCTCTCCCTGCAGCCGGCTACTTGAAATGGGGTGTCGCCCGGTTCCCCAAGTGAGTCGATAAAAGACAGTATATTTTTACCCACCCTCTGCCACTCAGCCTCAGCTCGCGCGCCCCGACCTAGCTTGAGTGCCTAACAGGTTCCTCAGTTCCATCTCACATGTATCATCCGCATACACATGGATGGAACCAACGAACCCCGCCTCTGTCGTCCGCGAGTCCCATCGGACTCCCTGGGGGGCGCCACATGGAGGTGACAGTAGGCGTTGATAGGGATAAGGAGATCTGGGAACTCACAAGCAGTGGGTAGGGCACTTCACTCGATCATTCCGCAAAGAGTTGGGGAGATTCCCGCACCTATCTCCCTCTCTAGACCTCCCGTTACCCTATCCATTAGCCCCCCTGAATATAAATATATAGTTTTTTTTAGATTTACTTCATATTTTTCAAAATTCCTAAACCATTTTTTAATGTGCAAGATATTTTCTGAAATTCACAATAACTTATTTTATTTCATAATAAATTAAAAAAATTTTATATTAGTTGAAGTGATTTTATTTTAATATGACTTCTCTTAAAAAATATTTGTATTCTAATGAAGAGAATAGAAAGTTAAACATAGCTCTATGTAAAGCCGAAATGTTCTCATGAAGTGCAACTATCGAGTTTTGTTGTTATCAGTGTTTGACATTGTCATTAGTAGCTAAAAAAAGATAGTTTCGAGTACTATGTTTGGTGCTGATGCGTTAAACTTCATTTTCCAAAACCCTCTTGCTGACACCACAGTATCCATCATTACAAAAACAGTAAATATTAATATTTTCCATTAATTTTTTTATTTAGAAAATGAAATTCTTTAAGTTGTTTCATTGAACCATTTGTTAAATTTGTGAATAATACTTTTATTGCAATGCTCTGATAATTCTTTAGGATTTTAATAATTATCAGCTATTGGCTCATAATTATTTAAATTATTATTTTTGTTTAATAGGCAAAAATATTAACTAAAGGGGCTGATGCTTTTTTACCCAAACCTAATCAGCAGCCTGTCCAACAAATAATAAAGATGGATCCTGAACCTTTATGGAAATTAGCAGGTAGAGGTGGCATTTTCGTGAAATTGGCTGCAATATCTGGAAGTGCTGCAGTTGTCCTCGGAGCTTATGGAGCCCATAGTAGGTCTTAGAAATAATTTTTTTCAGAATGCTTTTTCATTCTGTTAATATTGCTTATTTATTACTTATTGTTTTTGTTGAGTGGAATATAGGTTTTGTTTGCTCATTGCTTACATGCCTTTATTTCCTTCATTATTATGTTTTCTTTATGCAGGAAAAAACAACAAAAGTAGTTATTATATCTGTTGCAATATAAATTAAAATATTGTATGGAAAAAATAATTTTGAATTATCTTACGAATCAAGTGGAAAGCAAATGAGTGTTCATGAGTTTTTAGTACCTAATTCAATAGACAGAGTTTGTCAATCTCCAGATTGAAAATATCCCAATTCTGATAATTTTTCTAAATAAAAAAGTTGTAGGTTATGATGAGATGAAACTATTCATCTCAAGTTTTTGGAGCTGTTAATTATTTGATAAAAAAATGTATCTGTACCATGGACTAATACTTTATTATGAATGATCATTTTACTTAGGAAGTAATAAATTTACTCCATTGGAAAATATCTTTTCAGTTCAGCAGTGAGATTCAGCTATCCTTCAACTTTTACTAACCCAGTATTGAAATTACTGAAACATATTGGTTTGGTTCAGAGGTGCAGGACCATTGGTTTGTAGTTCTTATTAAGAATGTAAAATAAAGTCAATACTGGATAAAAACTTCATCATTAATGTCAATATTAACAAATAATTAAATCAAAATATATTTTATGTTTAAAATTTTATGAAGTCTCAAAGCCAATATTCTTGGCTCTTTTTGTTTTTTTCAAAAGATTTTTAATCTATTATTATAGGCTGAAATAAATAATGATATTTTCATTTTTGTAAACCTTGATAATGTGTGATAAGTATCCTTCGTCGAACACGGTATCTTGGAAGCTATCACTAAAATTAGCCTTGGCTCATGCGTTATTGTTGAAGGTGTTAAATTTTGTGGCTTTAAGACACAAGACCTAGTGGTAGGTTGCCTAAGAAATGTACTGGCTCTTGATGTCTGCCTCAAAATCTTTAAAGTAATAATTTTTAATGTAATTGTTATTTAACTTTGTTTAATTTTAATTTTCAGCTGTCCTGCCCGACAAAGATAAAGATGAAAATGCTAAAGTGGCTTTTCAAACAGCAAACAGATACCACTTCTTTCATACCTTGGCTTTATTAGGGGTACCACTTTGCAGATATCCTGCAATAGTAAGTATTTTTAGTATAAGTGATTGTTGTTCTAGAAAAATTATGAATATCCTTAAACAGTTCCTCAGATGCTATGCATCTTAAAACCTGTCAACTCTTAGTCTCCTCCCTCATTTTCTCCCAATTTGACTATCTGACAGTCAGGACAGCAAGAGATGAGTCTAAAGAATCGTTTAATTAGATTCCATTTTTTTCGTTCCCAGGTGCGACCACGCCTCCACAATTGCTATCTCTGGTTATAATGGCTTTATCTTTTTAAACTATTGTTAAAAATTAAAGTTTTAGATTGTTTTGCTGAGATCTTTTAATTACCTAAGAAACCAGTGGGAATCCCCAAGAAAATAAATTTTATTAAATTGTTACTTAGTACAAAAAAATAATAAAATAAATACCACTATCTTATTAATAAAAAACAGAATAAAATTCTTCATATAAAATGAATCAAATGTGAACTTTTTGGCAACAAATAATTTTTGCAAACAATTCCTAATAACTATTAGCTCTGGAGCCAGGGCCCAAAAATCGACCTGATCGCAGGCGAAGGTTTGACTGTAAAAAGTTTTCCCTTGGGGTCCCGCGTTAGCAATTTTGTTTTTTACATGTCTAAACCCATATATATAAGTTAAAAAAATAAAAACTGTTTTCGCAATGGATTTCCCGTTTCGATCCTCAAATTATTGGCCTAATATTCTTTAAATCAGCCGCCATTTTTGAAAGCAGCGGCTTTGGAACAGCAAACAAGGTTCTTTTTACTCAGAATAACATACACTTTCAGAATTTACAATCAAACATTCACCTGCGATCAGGTTGATTTTTGGGCCCTGGCTCCAGGGCTATATGTATTGCCGACTTCCAACCCTGTTATCTCAGGCTGTTTTAGCTCTATTGCATTGATTTTTTTAAAACTTGAACATAACAATATATTGGGCTACTCTTAAAATAGTTCTAACCATTTTTCAATGGATAAAAGCAGTATCAACTCACTAGGTTCTCCAAACGTAAACAATATCAATTCTAGAAAACGAATAATGAGTCATCATTTCTTGCTGGTTTCTATCATCACTGGAGATCTCTCTGTACATCAGATAACATCTCTTAAGTGGGCAGAGAGAAGGGATTATATGAATGGATATGATGGAAAATGAAGTGAACTGCTACAGCTTCAATCATTCACATTAAGAATATTTAGACTTCAATAATAAATCATTTAGCAATAAATTAAATAGTTTTAAAATATTCTAGGATATAAAAATTTTTAAAGTTATTTATTTTATCTTATTTAATATAAATTAAACAAGAAATAATTATTTTATTTTTCATTTATATTTTTATAAATTGTTCAATTTTAGTTATCACTTTTTGTTTTTATGATTCATTAAATTAGTTTCTATTTCTTATCTCCAGAGTGGTTCTCTCTTCATTCTTGGGCTTTCCCTGTTCTCTGGAACATGTTACTACTATTCCATCACTGGTGACAACAGATTTCGTCGCCTGACTCCTGTCGGTGGCACCTGCCTTATTCTTGGTTGGATTGCTATGCTTTTCTAATCATTTCAGAAACTTTTTTGAATAGGTTTTTTTTTTTGTAGCCGTTATGTGATACTTCAATATAAGTTGGTTAATTTTATGATATTTGTTTAACTTTAGCCACAGAAATGGCACAGGTAAGCAGATATGGAGTTGGTATTTAGTTTTGGTCTCATTTATTTGAAATAAATGTGTGAATTGAAGTAGAAAATAGTTATAGACCTTTAAGTTAATTATTTTCTGTTTTCAGCTCTCTGTTATATAACTTAAAATATTATGTTTACAGATATTTCGTCTTGTAGATGTTTTATGCATAATTTGGTATTTATATACTTTCCATATCAGAAACTAATTTATATTTCTGGTTACAAATTTACCCATCTCTGTTATTCATTAGCTGTAGATCATGTAGTATTTCCCCAATTAGTTACCAAACAGTTAAGTCAATAGTTGTATTAGGGTGTGTCATTTTAATTAAATTTAATGTAATTTTATTAATTGTATTTTATAATGCAGTTTTATAGATGTTTAAGTAAAAAGGAAAAGCATTTACAGTGTTTTAAAATATAATTATCGAAAAATTAGTCTATTGACCAATAGTAATCTGTATTTATTTATTTAAAAATACAAAAGGAAACAATGTTTGACCACAGTACAGAATTATTTATTAACATCATTAAAATTATTATGGAATGAATATTTAATTGAAATTTTTTGTTTTAAATGATTTTTTACATAAGAATGTAAGGTATAAAAGTACTTTGTTTATAATTACTCTGCAGTTAATTTGGATTTTAGTGTAAACAAAATTATCAGATCTCAACTAAAAAAAGAAGAAAAAAACTTGAATGTTATGAATTGTTTTGGTTTATTCCACTTGGTATTATTTGTTAATTAGGAACTGACCCTTTTTCATTTTTGAAAAGCTAAGTTTAAAAATCCTTAGTTGATTAAGTCTTATTTTAATTTTTTTTAGTTGTGACTTTTTTCTTTATTTGACTGTGATGTAAAAATATTTTTTTTTATTGTTGATTTGTTGTGTTACATTCTAATGTTTGTCTTTATATCATAAGAATATTTGAAACCTTGATTTTGTCATTGTATATTTGAAATAAATCTTACTATCCAAAGTTATCATTTAAAATTATTCATACCATCGGTTTATCGCAAAACATTACCAAGTACATTTTCGATGACGCTGAACTTTTAAGGATCTTCAAAAGTGAATTTCCACCTTATTTATCAATAAAAAACTTCAGCAAGTAGATCAAATTGACATAAACACTTATAAACATAGTTACACCATGTACTGGGTACTGGTATTGGTGGGTGGACTTAGTCCAGCAAGTGGGTCTATTGCTCCTTTTTGGCAACCTCAAAGACAATACTTCCAATGGCTGTCTATTATACCTCTAACTCTGTCTCAAACCTTTCTGTTCTTCAAATGAAGTTCAAAAGGTTGGACCATTTTATGAAGGTAGCTTCGTGTACTTGTATTCTGTCTGCGCCCAGAAGTCTATCTGAGTGGTACAAATCAGTCTAATTCTGTAATGAAGTGAAGGGCAGTTTCTGTTGCATCTCTGCACATATTGCAGAGTTCATCATTTACTATCCCACAGATCTTTAAATGTCTTTTAAGTCTGCAGTGGCTTGTTAGTACTCCGATAACGAGTCAGATTTCTTTTGTAGTTAGGCCCAGCAGCCACTTAGTTTTGGAGGGCGAGAGACTGTTAATAAATTGTTTGGTTTGTCTTAGCCTATTGCATTCCCTCCACTCCTTACCTGCTCTTTTTCAAGTCCAATCAAGTAATTCTTTCTGCTGATGTTTTTTGGGTATTCCTATTGCAGTTGATGGACCCACAGTAGGAAATTCTCCTTTCCTTCCGAGGGGATCGGCTTTTTCATTGCCTTTAATTCCCTTCTGACTAGGAACACACACTAGTTCCACTCCAAGCCCTGTTTACACTCCTGTACCATTGTGGAGGTCACTTTGCGAGATTCTAATGCTTGTAGCGCTGACTGGCTCCGCGAATAGATAGTGATGCCAGCCCAGCACTGGCAATTAATAACTTATAGACAGGTGGCTCCAGAAAGTATAGTTTGAAATACTGTAGCATGTTCAGCAAATGGTATTTTTAATTCTATATTTAAATTCTCTATATAGACTCCCGCACACGTTAAACTAGTTGAGTATTTCCTTGACCCATCAGTAAAATAGGGCAGGTAGTCTTTTTGAGTTTCTACTGAACCCTGTGCCCAATCTATTATGTTAGGTTACAGATAGCTAACTAACCTTACTGTCTAAAGTAAGGTTTTTATCAAGTGTCGGAGCAAGGTACTGTAAGATAGGTAGCTCTTTTTCCACCATCCTGGCTATTTCTAAGTGGCCGGTGTGTTTCCTTATCCTCCGGTGTACACACCACTGTCTATTATCCTTCATTCATAAAAATGTCATAGCCGCTTCACCTATTATCCATAGGGGCAGCAAAATCAATGACAATAAGTTTTCCAGACACTTTGTACGTGTGTGAAATGCCTCTGTAATGCTAATGCAGGCCATTCTTTGTATGTGACATAACATTTGTATATGAGTGGCCTTATTTAGGGATACCCACCACACCACGCTTCCGTATTATATTCTGGGTCTAGTTATTGCCATGTATATCCAATTCATGACTTTAGGGTTAAAACCCCAAGTTATGCCAACAGCACGTTTTATTATAATTTTCCTTTTAATATCTGTGAAATGTTTTCTCCAGTTCAGTCTAGAATCTATGATAATACAAAGATATTAGACATTTTTCCTTAATTGAAGTAGCTTACCAAAGAATTTTGGTGCCTTAAAGGCATCCAGTTTACATTTCTTGGTAAAGAGAATCAACTCAGTCTTTAATGGGTTAACTGATAAGTTCATATCAGTACACCATGTCTGAACAATGTTGCAAGCGACTTGCATCCTTTCAAAAATTATATTTATGAACTTTCCTGTGATGAGGATCATTCCGTCATCTGCGAATGCCTGTGCATAGATTCCCAGCTTCCTCCAATCTATTTAATAGGTCACTGATTACCAGACACCACAAAAGCGGTGAGATGCAGCTCCCCTGGGGACACCCCATCACCGCCTGTGCCTGCAATTAGACTGCTTCTTTTGAAACAACAATTCTATTTTTTAGTACTAATCTTACCCAACCGATCAGTCCAGTGGGAGCAGAGATGTTTACTAAGTCTAAGTTCAGTCTTATTGAATTCTCCTTCTAAATAAAAAAGAGAGTCCTAACAAACACTCCTTAAAATGCTGGTCATTTTCTATTTTCCCTATCAGGGAGTATAGGGCTGTATCCGTAGATTTTCCCTGGAGATAAGCATGTTGGTTTGGGTGTAACGGGTGAAAAGGCAGCACTTCACTAGTTAAGCAAACTGCCGCCAACTTCTCCAGTATCTTAAATACAAAGGAGGTTAGACTTATAGGTTGATAAGCTTTAGCAACACTATAATCATCCTTGCAATTTTTAGGAATGAAAGCTATTAATGATTTCCTCCAGGACTCCAGTATATATCTAAGTGCAAGTGAGGATCTAAGCAGTGCTTTAATTTGCAGTGTGTCAGGTGATGGCACTACTGAACATTGAATTAGTGCAGATATGCTCAGTATAGTATTATCACGTGGTTTCTAGAAGCCACAGCGGAACTACCCGTTGACAAGGCTCTCGGTCGAGATCCGCTTCTGGGCTACTCTATTCACTGCAGCTGTTACACCGTGTAAACAATTTTCTGATTTCGCAAAGGTAAAATTCATCGAAGTTCTTAATGATTTAAAGTTATGAAATATCACTTATTGACTTTTTACAATATACAAAATGTTATTTTAGTTTTATTTATTACTATTTATAATTTTATATAAATATTATTAAGAATCCCCCTTTTTATGAATGGGACATAAAATTGATTTATGTGGTGTCTTTTCTTCATACCAGTCGTTTAATATTAAATTTTTCAATGCTTAAACCAATTTGTGGCCACCATATTTAAATACTTCAGCTGGTTAACCATTAATACCAAGAAGCTTATTGTTCTTAAACCTTTGTATAGGATTTGCAACTTCCTCATCGTCTGGCGTTTCTGTATCTTCCCCATCATAAAGATATTCATGACATATTCGCAGATTGAAGTCTTGTCGGTTAACAATTACCCTTGAAATGTTCGTTCCACCTTTCTAAAACTTTTTTCTCTACGAAAAAAGATTCTTGTCTTTGTCTCCTTATGGTGTTAAATAATAAAATGTTTCTCTTAGAACATTTTAAATATAATTTTTTACATTCTTACATAAGGTGTATGATGGTGACCTACAGGGAGAAAACAGTGGTCTTGAAAAAATTAGTTAAATTTGCACCTCAATGATGAGAACTTGTGAGTTAGATCTCTGATTAAAAGATTCTAGGAAATGTTTACAATGGAATTCCTCGAAAGAACTTAATGAAAAATGTCTAACAAAGAAATTCCTAAGAAAATCTACAAGTTAGAACAAGAACTTTTTCAAAATAAATGTGCACAGTTTCTTTCTTCAGATTATTCTTATTTGAACATTATAATAATAAATAGTTGCATTATGCTTAATTTAATTTTTAAAACCTTAAAGAATCGTACATAGCTCACACAGAAATTATTCATCAAATACCATCATTGTTGTATTGAAATTTTGGTGTCAAAATAGTAATATTAAACTTATTTTTGAAGAGTGCGTAGTTTTTTATAATCATATGAGAGTTGAATAGAAGGGTCGTCAAATGAGCGGGGGCAACTAGGGTGATCATCCACGCCAAGGGGGTGCCACGTATCAGTAACCCAAATACATAATATTCTAGAAAATACAGCTCTTTTTCAATAATTAATTCATTTTCTGATTTATTCCTTTTTATCTTTTTTGAAACCTTCATTTCTCTGTTAAAAAAAATTACAAGCAGGTTATTGATTCTAAATTTATCAGCCATTAGTGGAAGTACGAAGGTGAATCTTCAAATCAAATGATGATCAAATGAGAAAATAGGCTACTGACTGATTTAGAAGCGCGTTGAGGGAGCGCCTGGTAAAATTTCCTCCTGGGTGCTTATAACCCATCCACTTGATGGCTCAGATATAAGGGTATAAATAAAACAATTCTTATACTATAAATCACATGAATTATAATTAAATTTTGTTTGTACATCCTCCAAAAATGGAGTTTAATGAATTATTAACATTTTAGTTACAACATGATTCTCCAAATAGAATTTCTTTCTTTCTCATTTAAATTAATTATAACAATCGTAAAATCTTATGATTATCACAAGAAATTAAAGAATATTTTGAAATATAATAATAAAAAAGGGAAAATGGTTCTTAACAAATATATTTTAAAGAACAGTTTCAATTGCTGCTCCTAAATTGCCCTGAAGTACATGAAAAAGTTCAATATGAACCATTAATTAATTAGATTTTTTTTTTTATAAAATAAAGTTGAACAAAAATTAATTAATAATATTGTTTATAAAAAAATCAAATAACAAATTTAATTTGTTATAAAATTCATCACACCATTATAAATTAAGATGACACTATTAAAATTCACATTAATCTGGAGATACCGAAACAAGAAACATGATTTTTAAAACAGCATATGCTTAATGAGGATCTTAGACAACTTAATATTATACTTTTAATATATCTTCGAACACTCGATTATTGTTAATGTTGAAATAATAAAGTAAATTTGGAAGCCAAGATCACTTAGTAATCTCTTATAAACAATGATTTATAACACTGCCAAAGATTTAAAGTTTTAAACTTAAATTATCTTTTTGGTAAATAAATTATACAGCTGAGCTGTTGGCTGTTGACTTTTTCTTTAAATAAAACGCCTTTTGGCATTAACAACTATATAAATAATTAATTTCAGTCTATGAGCCATCTAGTAGACTATTTCTAAATATAATCGAGAGTAAATAAATTTTATACTTAACAAAAATGTTCATAAACCATCTACTTTTAACAACGTACATTAAATTCTTAAGCCAAACAATATTTTACAATAAATAACCTCAAGGCTAGTACAAACAGTGAGAATATAAAATTATAAAACAATTTCAATAGATATCCATCAACTAAAAAAACAAAAAAAAAAGACAAATTAAATTACAACCACTACCTACTCTATATATTGAAAATTATTGTATAAATAACCATCAAAAATTCATTTATATTTTGATTGATTATTGAAGAATAATTGTTTTATTATAACAGCTCACTTAGTGAGAGGTTAAAAACAAGACTACTCATAACTGTATTTACACATCAGAAGAAAGGAATCAGCTTCTTTTACATCATAAAATCTAGACCCTCATTTGATGAAAAGTACTTCAAATGTAATGCAAATTGCTGCTATACAAGATAACTGAGACTGAAAACAGAGCATCGTAAAGAGGCTTTTGAAAATAGATGACAAGTCCTTCGAAATATGAACAATAATAATAAAAGTATCGTCAGCATTTGTCTAAATGCGCTTTCTATTAGATGTTAGAGAAACTGGTTGAATTTGGTGCTCGGTGCCATTTTGATGCTACGCTTGTGTGGAGTGAGGCGATTCTCCTCTAGCCTGAGGCTGAGCCCATTCAACAAAATCGTCTATCAAAACAGGCCAAGCACCTTCTTCATCATAATTTGACATGTCTTCATTAATAACTGAGGCAAAATCAAGCAACAAGTTCCAAGTATCTTTCGGTATTGACCGCTTGTGGTGTTCCTAGAAATATAAAAAACGTAATAAAATGAGCATCTTAGTTCACTAAGGACAGAATGGCAGCTCTAAGGCATCTACCATACAAAAGATAATTAATTCCATTAGTTTTTACATCAAAATATAATATTAACAAATATTATTCTTTTAAAAGAGAGAATATGATATGGGAGACGTGACTAAGAAACAGAGATTTAGTATTATTCTTTTAAATAAAGATTGTTAATCACTTAAAATGAGATGAAAACAATACAGTAAAATGCAAAGAAGTAATCATGATGAAATACAGATTTCGACCATATTATTTGTTAATCTAAAACCGTATCAGGTCAGTAATACACTGAATTTTAAAGTTAGCAGTTAGCTAAATTAGTTAGCCGATTTCGACGAAAAAGTTGGTGTAACATCCGTAGCATATAAAAACCTTAAACATGCAATTTTACTTCCGTACGACTTTTCGTTTTTGAGCTAGACTGTCAACACGCAAACACACAGACCATTTTGCAGGACTTGGGTATTTGAACTCAGGGGACCTCGAAACTTGTATTTCCGTTGAAAACTTTTGATTAAAAAATTTTCACGATCTTACTATACTATACTTACCCTTACTATATATTACATATATATAAGTAAGTGAAAGTAAAAATTATTCTGTACCTGTAAAAACTGGCACCATAAATCAAGAAACCTAAATCTGCCTTGGAGGACGATATTCCAATATGTTATGGCCATATCTAATTCAAGACCTTTCTGCCCAGGATTTTTGGCATAGTTAAAAGTAAAGTGGTAGAAATCTTTGAATTTCAGATTATCTTTAATTTCATTTTCTAATGTTGGAAGTCTGGCTCTTAGTTTCTCAACACTATCACATCTGAAAGTTAAAGAAATATAAGTTTTTAATTACTTATTTAAAACAAATTATCATATTATAAAGTAATGCAATATTCATAATTAAATTTTTTATGCAAACAAATCATTAGTAAGGAGATTTTAATTTGTAATACTCAGATTCTCAAAATAGTCGTCTACTAGGTTAGTGTAGAAGTTGAGCATGGTTACCTAAAAGAATTACTTTATTTGAAAAGTCCTTCGCCCCTTCACACCGACCTAGTAGACGACTAGAATTTAGATTAGAATTTTCATTTATCTTCTTTATTTGTTGGATAAACAAATGTTCTAATTCTTTTATTCAAGAATAAAATTAACTGGGTATTAACAAATATTTTCTCCAAATAATAAATCATGTAAGGTTTTTCAAGCTTGTAAAATAGTTAAGCAATGCAATCCTAAACAAACATTGTTAATAAGCTGCTACGTGACTATTTGGGTTTTTATAATTTTTAATCGGATGCCACTGGATAATTATCCACAATTAATTAATAAAATATTAGTTAAACAAATTATGTCATTTGACATATAGGTCCATGATTAATTTATTGGATTACTTCTCACAAAGACTTGTTGTGTGTTTATCTGTTCTCTAATTACCAAACATTACCTGTGCTTATAATGAAATAAATAGGTGGCATGATTAAAATAACTTTTATGTACAAATTATATTTATTTACAAGTTATAGAAGAAAGAATTTGTATTTACATTTTATTTACAAAATTTAATGAACCAAACAATTGGTTGTGAAGGCATGATTCAGATGGATAGAATTTAAAATTTATATTGCCATTAAATATTTACACATCTTTAAAATGAATTGTTGGGAATTACTTATCTATAATGTTATGCTAAGTGGTGAATGTCATGGCTGCATCTGCGATGTTGAGATCATCATTGTTCAGGTAGGTCTTCAACATCCAGCCAGATAAAAACATCAGGGACCTCCTCAGGGCCGGGCAGCTACATCAGACCTCTCTTCTATGCCGGGCAGTCGCATCCGGCCATAAGCCATAAGACTTCTTCTCTATGCCGGGCAGTGGCGTAAGCCCAAAAGCTTCTTCTTCCATCCACCTCAGTGGATTTTATTACCATATCTTGGGTGGGGCAAGAATTGTTCCCATTGGTTCAATTTTTGTAGCAGAAGGGATGACCACACCCCCAGCGATATGTTGAGCACACCCCTTTTAGCAGGTACACGACCGTTTCTTCCTTTGCTTAGGCTTAAAAGCTTTCTGGTCCTCTTTAAAAATAAGACTGGTCCTTTGGTGTTCTAGCGGTGTCGATCCTTTGGGGTTCTTACTAGTTTTCTTGCCACTTACAAAAGGGCAGATACTAGGGAGTCTCAGATACCCGTCCAGGCGTTAGAAATTACCTTTAAATATTATTAGTTACCATTAGGCTATGTTCGATATATAGCAAAGCATAAGATCAAATTTGTTCAAGAGTGGTTCTTCGGCGCTGGTACAGCATGGACCTATGCTCCACACTAACCTAGTGGACAACTAGCTTTGTAGGGAAGGAAAATATTGTTTTCATTTAAATAATAATAATAAATAAAAAGGCTTAGCGAACCCGAAGGTTCGATGGCGACACCAGCAATCGCTTATTACACACCTCCCTCCACCGTTCGCCGTCCAGACCCAGTCTCTTCAGATCGGCTTTAATGCAATCTTCCCACCTTCGCTTCGGTCTGCCCCTCGGACGCTTACCATTCGGCACAGCAAATATTAACCTTTTAGGAATTCTCTCGTTACTAAGTCCAACAACTTTACAGGAATATTTGATTTGCCGCGATGAAATTACCTCAATTATATTACCCGGATACAGTTCACGCAATTCGGCTTGGTGTAACCGTCTGAACTCTCCGGTTAACTCATCCTTCTTCGGTCCGAATATTCTACGCAATACTTTATTTTCAAAAACCTTAAGACGCTGCTCATCCCTTAATGTAAGCGGCCAAGTTTCGCATCCATAAAGAACTGTAGGCAAGATAATTGTTTTATAGATTCTAATTTTTAAGTTCCGGGACAAGAGACGCGAGCTAAGTAGTTTTGTCACAGAAAAATAACAAGCATTTCCCGCCTTCAGTCTAACCTTAATTTCTTCTTCAATTTCGTTTTTTCTAGTTATCGTAGAACCTAGATATCTAAATTTCTCTACCTGTTCAAACATATTACCATCAATATCGATATCACCAGTAGTATCGCCATTTTTGCAGCTAACCATATATTTTGTTTTATCCACGTTTATTTCGAATTGACCAGCGAACCTCTTGCAGAGCCAAGACATCTAAATTATACCCATTTACCTCATTCGCGACCGATTTTAGCCCCCCTGCTGTGTTTAAACTCCTTACGTTCCACATACCAATATTTAAATCCCTATATTTCAAATTGCGCCATGAATCCCCTAAAGCAGTTCCCACCCGGAGACCCGAACGGGGGACTAGTTTACCTCCGGATAATGAGCGTTTTACCTTAGGGAGATCCATGACTATTTGTGGTGTTTGGTGAACTAAAGATATGTGAGTACGGCGTTCAATCTTACGTCACACCCTCCAGCAAGTCTGGTGGGTCCCCTCCCTCCAGCAAGTCTGGAGGGCCCCTCTCATTGTCCATCGGACTTAGCTGGGAGGAACTTCCAAGGAATTTCCACCGACCATCCCCACATCCGCCACCTGTGGGACGCTCTCCATATGCGGTAATGAGCCCGCGCGAGGTGTTTTCATTTAAAAGAAAACAAAAAATAAATAAAGAACATAAATTTAAGATATTTTTGAAGTGTAATACAAGGATTGTTTTTAATGGAGACAACTTTGGATATATCTAATTACACCACTGTAAATAAATGGAAATTAAATTTAAACAAAATTAAGTTGAAAATTATACAATTTTTTCTTGTAATAAAAATATAATATATGAAAACTTATGAGAAGGAATTAATTGGGGGGTGCGGTCAATTGATGGTAATTATTTAATTTTTGCCGACGTTTCGATCCACTTTGCAGGTCGTCTTATAAAAACTTGATAAAGTACTCCAGTGTTTAATCTATAATAATTAAACCTTAAATACACTTTTTAAAATACTCTGAGGTTTAAGTGTACAATTTTGATAAAATGAATACAACTTTTTTCAAGCTTGATCATTAATGTAACACTAATGTTTACCCAGATAAACTACAGTTAAATTTAAAATAAAAAAAATTGAAATTGACTTACGCTAAATCTGTCATTCCCGTGACAAATTCCTCTCTAGAAAACTCACACTGAGCGGCGGCTTTGAATTTCCATGCGATAATAAGGACTAACTTGGAATCAGGACTAAGACTGAGATCATCGAGAAACCTCATAATACCATCTGCTGTCATCTTTTCTGGTTCAGATGGGTCTGCAATAGGAAACACTACATTAATAATAAAACAACTTGAATATTTATTGTACATTTTCCCACCAGATATATAAATGAAAACGAAATTAAAAACCTTGCCTGGAAACAGAAAAAAAAATATTAGAAACTGAGAAGTGCATTATTCTAAAAATGTATTGATAAATTCACATTCGATCAGGGAGTAAAAATTTTAAATTTGATAGGAGGATTGGAATTCAAGGAAGTTTAATTGGATTTAAGAAGGAATAATTGCAGTTGAAAGAAAGATATGGAAGAGACTTTATTACAGCAATAAGTAAAGATTTAAAAAAGGATGAACCAATAAGAATTTATTTATTGTATTATATTTATATAATATTAATATTTCTATCATGAGGAGAATAAAGCCATCATGAATTAACATAAAAGCCAGAGCCAGAGGCTTGAGTTTCTGTTACATAAAAGTCAGGGTCCTCCAAAAGGCTGCTTCTCTCCAACCCCGAATAGTGTTGAAGATCTTAATATAAAAATAGAAGTTAATTCAAACTAACTGAACTCTTTCAACAATAAATAATTTAAATTTGGCACCCACATCGTGTCAATTGTACTATAATGTTTTATCAAAAGAAATGAGATAATTTTTTATTCATAAAATATATAGAAATATTTGACTGACAAATAAGTACTTTTGGTTTTTCAGGATGAAATAAAACTCAATGTATTATAGACATACAATTTATTTTAATCTACAATATATTGACTATTATTTAATATAACTTTTCCCCATCTTTGCACTAACTGCATAATGCCATGTTCATAGAATATCTGGAGTTTATTGTTAAAAAACTGACCCAAGTGGTTTTTGATATCCTCTTCCTTTTGGAATTTCTTTCCATTCATGTTGTTTTGCAGAGAGCGGAATAAGTGGTAGTCACTTGGAGCTACGTCTGGTGAATAGGGAGGGTGGGGAAACAGGTCCCATCCAAGGCTCAATAATTTATTGCGAGTGACCAATGAGGTGTGGGGCCTAGCGCTGTCTTGGTGGAACACAACACCCTTCCGATCATCCATAACTCTTCAGGATGTTCTCCAAATTCGATGTTACTATATCCGTTGGAAAGCTGAATCATTGCTCTTCAAAGCTGTATGGTTTCTTGATTTAATGCCTACATAAGAAATAAATAAACAAAAATTCCGTATAGGTTTTTATTTTTTATCTCCATTTGTAGTTAGTTTACGAAGGTCCTGTTGATGTCATTATGTGTAGTTTATGTGGCCCTAAATTTCTTGTAGATAGAGAAAGTTGTATTGATATTATAACATTTTTCTTGATTTTCAAAAAAAAAAAATCATGTGAGGGATCCAAACATTAAGGCTGGAAACATAGCCGAGCTTGTGCAAATCGTTTTCTACCCTAGTGTGCGACACATTTAGGTTCATAGCAATCTCTTGCACTGATTGGGTGGAATTTTGACCAACAATAGCCTTTTTTTTTAGAGCGGCAAAAACGCACTACCTACAATGGCCTTAACATTGCTCCTATCAAAATCACAGTGCAATAGCAAACACAATACAAAGTTAGTTTCAACAAGAGTTTAACAGATATAGTTGTTGACATATTACAAACAGGATAAACAATCCACATTAGGGATTAATTCATCAGATAAGAAGTGTATCATAGTGACATAAAAAAAATCTGGTGCAGTGTATACATCACACAACTTTTACTTACCACCCACTATTTAGCAGAAATAAGTATTTTGAGACAAAGGGGAAGTTAAAGTAAAAATTATAAATGCTATATTGATATACATTTCATTGTGGGTATGTTTATTTTTCTAAGTCTTATATATACAAATTTTAATATTTATGTCGCTGAAATCTATACAATTAAATATTAAATAATACCAACAATAGCATTTATGAAAACCGCATATGTATATTTACATAATATTGTTGGAGTCTTTATTATATTAAGCAGTGGCGGCCTTAAGCATTCGGCGCTCCCCGGGCAATGAAGTTATCTTCCCTCTCCCCCCTAAAAAAATTTAATTTATTTCTTAAGCTGTTTTATATTATGTAATACTTGATATTCATTTAACATTTCTTTCATACAGTTGCTTTATTGGTAGGCTAAAATTAATTATTTTAATACATTTTTTTTTATTTCTAACAAGCTGTGAGCGCCACTGAAGATTGGTCGGCGGCACCCAGGTCGGCATCCCGGGGCGATTGCTCTGGTTGCCTCACCCTAGGGCTGGCACTGACATTATTTTCATGTTACGTATGGCAGCGTGTTCTAATCTTTGGAGTGCGCTCGTACTCCTTTGGTTCATCAATTACAACTATTCTCCGTTATGATCTCTTATTTCTCCTCTAGTTATTTATCAAATTCTTTCATATTTTATATTTAACTATCTTTTATATTTGAGATTAATGTGAAATGGTCAATGGTTTCAAAATAAAAAAAATTAAGGTACTTTAGGGGAAGCTTATATTGAAAGTTAGAAGTTGTTAAAAGTCCTGTTAAAGAACATCAATCAAAATAAAGCCTACATTTTATTTAAAACTGCTCAGCATGCTTATCATGTGCATTGCGTCATAAGTGCTAGCCGTTAAGTGGCACAGCTTACATCCACACACACCACACACACACACACACACACACACACACACACACACACACACACACACACACACACACACACACACACACACACACACACACACACACACACACACACACACACACACACACACACGCACACACGCACACACACACACACACACACACACACACACACACACACACACACACACACACACACACACACACACACACACACACACAGCACTACACACAGTACTGAAACAGATTAGAAAATTTTCACAATCGCAATACTTTTTTCCCTAACTATATATATTTCAGTAGTATAGTCAGGATAATGTTGAAAATTCAATATGTTAGACCCAAGAAGACCCATTTAGCTAAATAATTTTCAGATGCAATATAGTAAGCTTACAATACACTGGTAAAGAAAATTTGGTATGATTAAATTATTAATAATAAAATGATCAGGTGGTGGTCCAATACAAGAGCTTTGGTAGTCTACAAGTCAATATTTACAATTTTTTCATATTTAAGGCTAGAATACTTCCAATTTTCATCAAATTTATTTATTACATATGTTGTCTCTTATGTTTTGGGACAATTTTCCCATCATCAGAGCAATCTTTATTTTTACTCAAATTATGCACATTTTATATTTACTTTGTTTTTATTTCATATAACTGATATCTCAAATACCTGAGATTGCTCAGGAGAAATATCACAGTGCGAGTTGTAAACAAAGTAAAAATAAATTATTAAAACATACATTTCTTTTTCTAAAGGAAACATTAGAACACATCTTCTCATATGAAAATGATAATTTTTCTTATGTTAGTGCTATTACTTTGACTTTATCAGAAATCAATCTTTTGGAGAAAATAAACAAATTAAATTACAAAATATAAACAATAACATTAGTTAATTTATTAATTTACTACAATAAAATTTTTAGCAATGACACATAAAAAGCTTAAATATGATAACTATTACATGTGTCAATATGAAACTCGAATTTTAGTATGTGGAAATCCACTTTGTTTGCATGAAAATTTAATAAAATATTTCAATCATAGTATTGTCCATCACTATCGTTTTTCACAAAATATTTGATTTAATTCAATCATTCATAGTCGATGGCAATAAGTAATAATGGTTTCAGATGCTCATAATGAATCATACCCTTCTTATCCAACTTAACACAGAGTACTGTCTTCTTTCCATAGCGACTTGGCCTTATAAGTTTATCTGGAGTTAATATGGTCTTTAATGCTTTGAATCCTCAAAATATATCCACTTTTCATCATTCCTCATGTCGAAATCACCACTTTTGAATTTCGTAAACCACTCAAAGTACTGTTATGTACCAAGAAAACTGGGATTTAATGCTTACAGTAAGCTTCAATAAACACTCCATTCAATTCTGCAGCAATGTTACTATAAATGGTAACAGAAAACTAATGCTGTCTACTAATCGTAGTTTGCAGGCATAAAATTCAATGATGCTGTTATATGAAACTTATATCGTGGTAAATTTAAAATCTTTACCAACTTTTTATGAAACAAAATTGCAGCAATAATATGGTCTAACAGTAAGTAAATTAACAATAAAGGCATCTATGGATGAATTCTGGTTTCATATTTAAACAGCTGGTGAACACACTAACTATATAACGTGATATTAGAAGAACTTAAGAAACATAATTTGGCATGGCCCCTTCTTTTTCTCAAATCATTTTAAAAATATTTATTGGTGCAAGAGCGAAGTTAGTACAATATAAACTTCTCTTTTGGTAATAAGCCTCACTTATTACAGATGCAGGTAGGCCACCACTTTCAAATTTTGCTTCCATAAGAGATGAAGATATACGAATTTACTTTTCTTAATTTTTGTATTATTTTACTTTTGTTCAATTCCATTTTTTCTTAGCTAATTAATTTCTAAAGTACAACTTTTATAAAACTATGTCTTTATATTGATACAAAGATGTAATGGTAAAGAGTCTCAGAATGCCTGGTTATGAACATTGTGGGATCAAGGTCACGTAATATTCATTTCTTGTTTGGTCCCAAGAAATGAATTTCGGCACTCTCATTCTGGTTAGTATGGGATGGCAACTTCATGGTAGCCATCAAAAGCAAAAAAACAAGACCCACTTTCCACCCCTAATAAAAATACCTGTACATTAAAACAGATTATGCTTTGTGTAGGGAATATTTAGAAATTAATAAATGACCCTCCTACTGTACCTGTACTGTACCCTGAGGTAAGGAGAGAAAATAAACTATTCTCACTACTTTTAAAATATGAGGCAATAAATGAAAAATACAATTACTTTATAAACTAGTTTACAAGTTGCTATTGATGAATACAATTTATACTCTTTTTCCCATATGTTAGATAAAAGAAAAAATGCTAAGCTCCTGATTAAATTTTTAAATAATGATCTTTATTAATAATCTTTTACAATAATTAGTAAATAATGTAGGTACAATAATTTAATCCACAAAACTAAAGCACTTGTACATTTTTATTGTATATAAGCTGATACGAAATCTAACAAAAATTAAAAAGTCTATAATTGGTATAAAAATATCAAAGCAGCCTATTTGAATCTAAAAACAATAGAAACACCATCTAAAAAATATGGTTAGACATTTCACAAAGCCTAGGCACTCTTTTTTGCCATAAAAAACAACAAATTGCCTGTATTGGTATAAAAAAACAGATGAATAGCTTTAGCAACATTGAGAAAAAAAATGAATGAAAGCCTTAAGTTTTACAGTGAAGGTTATTTACATTATCATAATTTTGAAAAGGTAGATAAAAATTATAAATTAGATTTGAAGGCTGAAGGAGTGATGATATTGAAGTTATCAAGACTGAAGATCTGATACATTTGGAAGACGCAGGGTCTTTGAGCATGATGGTCCTTGAGTAGAGAGCAACGTAGTAAGAGCATTTAGTTAAACAATCGTAAATTCACACTTGAGAAGCTGCTGAGGTATCTTTGTACCTGAATGGTGAGCTAAGTACCCTATTCGGGGCTGGTAACTGCAGCTTGTTGCTGCAGAATGTGTGTAGCCGGCCTTTGAACTGCCATTCCTATGTGACGTCTAATAGGTTGGAATATTAGTTTACTGGGTTTTTTTGTTTTCTATCCAGACCCAACCGCAGAATCAAATTCTACAGTCAGATTTTAGCAGTGATGATATCAATACAATAAATTTCTTAGAATGTCAACTAAAATAATAGTTCCACGGTGGAATTGCAAACTACCATTATGTATTGGTTGTCTATATTATATTACGTATTAAAATGAAAGATTGCAAAAAGAAAATCTCAGTTATAATTCAATTTCAAGTTTGATTATATATAAATATAAGAATATTTTTAACAATAAATAGTTTGTGTGGTACTACATCACAGGAAATGCTAGGTACTATAAATTTGATAAGGTAATAAAAAAACTATGGTGTTTAAAATAGCTCATCTATGCTTGGCAAAAAAGATATAAATAATTAATTTCTAAGAGTTTCTAAATTTTTTCTTTATATAGTTTTTCCACACAGCTATGATAAAACAAAGATCAATCATAAGTGTCACGTCTAGATGGAAATTGAAATACTAAATAAAATTACATTTAAATATTGTTATTGTTTTGGATTAAGCTTACTGCTTTAAACCGTAAGAGTAAAATCATGGTCCCTTAAAAAATTAAGATGAGTGCTATGTGGAACTTTTTTAGCATAAACAAGGTCTTTAGTTTTGCGAATAGGAGTCATGCAAAAGTACTATCATAATTAAACTATCCTCGATAAAAATAAATCGATAATACCCAAACCAAATAATAACCTGTACATGACCAACAGAAATAATTAACATAGCATTAAAAACCCAATGAAATTAAAACGTATGCACTCATATATACTTAAATGAAAGTATTTTTAGTCACTGTTACTATCTTTTATAATATCTGGCACAAAAATGCAATTAAAGATAGTAATTTGAAGTGACAGAAAATATTTCATCTTACCTTTGTATTTAGTAAACAGTTGTTCAATTTTCTTCCGATCAACAGTCGTTTTGGGTTCTTTGTAATAGACATCTGGGTTTTGGAAAAAATTGTCTGAAGCCAAATCTAATTTCCAATCATTCTGTGAAAGGCAATAAATAGCTGTAGATTCCCCAGTTTGTGTAAAAGCAATGAACTTTTTAACTTTATCTTTTTGAGAAGACTTCAGCTTGTGCTAAAAAGTATATTGATTTAACCTATTAGGTTATAAACTATTACAGGTTTAAAAACCTTCAATATTAACATATAATCAGCTTACCATTTTCTTGATTATGAATGTTGGCCCATTAAAATGAATATATATCAGATAATATTAAATATAGAAGTGAATGAATCCATGTTTCAATTTAACCATGTCAGCTGTGCTAGAAGAGTGTATACCTGCACTTTCAAAGGTATAACCTTTCCCTATTTATCCTCCTAATCAGCTTGTGGTTGTTTATCTCTTACAAGGAGTCAATTGTCGTTATAAAAGCTATTTACAATATTAAATAAATGAAATTTATGTATTTATTTACGACCTAGTATATAATTACACAATTAAAATGGTATTTTTTAGAATGGTGGATAATAATTGAATTTTTAAATTATGAAATTTATCAGAAACTTCTCAAGAGATGTCCGTGTAAGATTTGCACCAAGTCCCACTGGTAGATTTTATTTAATTATTTCTTTTGTGAATTGGTTTTTTTTTTTTTTAAATTACTTCTGTTTGGTGGAACTTTTATATAATTCATGCACTGTAGTTTAGTGTTAATTTTTATGTTGGAGGTGATGTTTATTGAAGTTTTTGGAGGGATGTTTATTGAAGCTTATTTCATTAAAGTATGACAGTAATAAGCAGGATTTAAACTTCATATTAATTACTAACTTAATTTTATGGAGCTTAATTCAATTTTGCTCGTGAATCTCTGTTTTTAGTGTGTTTCTTACTATCTACTTAATGTACATATCTAATTAAATGAAAAGAAATATTTTAAAAGTTAAAAGATAAATTCTAATTTAAAATATTGACTTAATTTAAAATGCACTGATTTTTGTAACTATTTATTTATATAATTTCAAGGGCATCTTCATTTGGGTGGCTTAAGGACTGCTCTCTATAATTTTCTTTTTGCTCGTTCGAATAAAGGAAAATTCATATTAAGGATTGAAGATACTGACCAAACAAGATGCATACCGCTTGCAATGGAAGAATTGGAAAGGGATCTAGAATGGGCTGGGCTCAAGCCAGACGAAGGACCTTCATCAGGTGGTAAATTCGGTCCATATATACAATCACAACGCTCTCATTTGTATAAGTGTGTATTTTTTAGTACCTACATGAAATATAATTTGTAGAAGTAATTTAAGATAACAAGGTTTTCAAATATGCTTTAGAGAATTTGTGGATAGACTGTTGAAGTCTGGAGCTGCTTACTGTTGCTTTTGTACAGAAAGGAGACTAGAATTGCTGAGAAAAGATGCGCTTAGGAATCGACAAGTCCCCAAATATGATAACAGGTGTCGAAGTTTGGATAAGAAAGAAATTATCGATAAACTAAATTCAGGGGCCGAGAAATGTATTCGGTTGAAGGTATGTCATTTACTAGTTTTATATGTTATATATTTTACCTTCTTTACTAACTGTTTCAATTGTGTAAAAATAAGTGTCTTTGAACCATGAAAACTAACTCAATTTCTGAAACCTCTGAAATTTTTTTAAATGTGGTGAAGCATTTGGTAATTATATGAAAGTTTTTAGGGGAGTAAATGGTTTAGTACCTGAGGAATAGAGTATCTAAAAGTAATTAAAGTCACGGAAAAATTAACGGCAACATATGCCAAACAAGTTGAAGTTGTGAAGCATGTATATTATTGCAATTGCAACAATAGCATCACAAAACTTGAAATAAAAAATACTTATAGATCTGTAATTTTCTAATGAAAGGCTGAGAGGGGGATGGGCGAATAGTTAAGTTTTACTTAGGTTTGGCTTTTGATGGAGTTCGATTAAGAGACGCACATAGGTAATGTTAATTGGTAGGTTTTTCATAAAACTTTGGATTTGAAAACCCATATATTATTATTAAACTTCTAAGAAAACCTCTAGTGTATTGAGTGCTGAATGCTGATGAATGACTTACAAGAAGAGCTCAGTGGGTCATTGATTTCAATCAAATTTTTTTTGGTAATACTTTGTTCCAATAGGCCTTAGGAGCCGAGGAAAAATTGTTTTATATAATTTCAACGAAAATGTATATTATTTATTTTTGCCTTTGATTTCTCTGGATTTTTAGGTTATTATATACCAATTGATTCATTTTTTTGTGCAAAATATATACTGTGGTTTTAAATGAGTTATAATGTGTCATAAATTCTAAAAACCTATATGCATTTCCACTAAAGTAGGCTTAGTAAATTTTTGTTACGAAAAAGCAAGTTAGATTCGTTTTAAGTGTTCTTAAAGACTCTTTATATGAATTTTTATATAAATGAAAAATTGCTAATTGAGAACTTGATTTTCTCGGAGGATTTTTTTTTTCTAGTCATTAACTAAAGCATTGATAACTTCTAAAAATTTAAAAACTTTATTGTATAAAATTAAAATTTTTCGATCACTATCAATATTCATAAATAGGGGTTTTCTGAGGTGTGAAAAATGAATATCAACTTTGTTTCTCCCCCAAAAAAAAGTTTATTTGGGTTCGGAAATCAAACTCCCAAAATGACAGTACCCAGGAGTAAACAGGAGGATTGCAGTAGCTAACCCTTGCTACTTTGGCCTTGTTCAACATTTTAGAAGTAGAATGCTCTCAAACTAAACCAAGATCAAGCTCAATAAGACCCTAGTCCACCCAGTCGTCACTTATGGCTCAGAGGGTTGGGTGTTCACGAAGAAGGAGGAGTCCAGGCTTCTTGTTTTTGAGAGAAGCATTCTTAGACAGATTTTCGGTCCTATTAGACAGGACGATGTCTGGAGAAGAAGGAGGAATGCCGAACTAACGAGACTCTACAACGATGTTGACATAGTCAAGTTTGAGAAGCTCAGACCACTTTGATGGGCAGGACATGTGCAAAGGATGGCTGCCAATGAGATTCTGAAAATGATCCTTACCGAGAAGCTCTACAGGAAACAGCGAGTTGGATGGACTTGGTCTCTGCGGATGCGCGGGTCCTTCTTGGAGTCCGAAACCGGAGAGCTGCTGCAAACAACGGAACAAACTGGTGGAGACTTTTGGAGGAGGCCCAGTCCTCGGTGATGGGCTGTTGTGCCACTTATGTATATATCTATGGAGCACCAAGTGCTGGGACATGTGTCTAATATTTTTTGATTTAGTACCACTGAAAAGAATTTGATTGAAATTGGTGATCTACTGACTGTAAACTCCGCTTGTTAGTTTAAATAAACTATGCTGATCATGCTATACAAAATCAAGAAAAATCTAATTTTATGCCATTAATTTTTTTTTAAAATTGTATTGTAGTATGCTTAATGTTAAATTAGAAATATGTTATGTTTGCTCCATAAAAGTTAGTTACAGTATTTATTTTATTATTATTAAATTTTAATACTAATTTTTAGCTTGTTCCTTCAGAGCCATTTAATGATCTGGTGTATGGAACAGTCCAGCATGAAGTTATGGAAATGGAAGGAGATCCTGTAATAATGAAAACAGATGGTTGGCCTACATATCACCTGGCTAATGTTGTTGATGATCATCTAATGAACATCTCTCATGTTATACGTGGTGTAGAATGGCTTTTGAGCACCAATAAGCATATCATGATTTACAGGTTATTGTTTTATGATAATATCTTATTTATAATATATTTATAATAAAGCAGACTACTAAGTTGAAGTGCGAAAATAAGACTATACAAATGTATTATAAGGCCGATAGCGAATTACCCATGCAAAACGTGGTCACTCAACAAGAAAGTTATACAAAGCCTTGATTATTTTGAGAGGAAGATCCTGAGACGCATTCTATGACTAGTCGAAGATAGTGAAACTTGATACCTGTGATAAAATTTAGAGATGTATTCCTCAGAGTTGGTATATATTGAGGTGAATACCAAGATTTGAGTATCTCAAACTTCACCTGGTTGCAGAGACTAAAATGGATTGGACATGTCATCAGGATAGAAGACTACAGGTGCCATCTAAAAGTACACAGGAACAGTTCAGGTGGGACAAGACCCAGATCATGCTATTGTATATCAGTATGGTGTCCTCACAGACGTGAGACAGGCAGGAAGGAGCATAGTAAATGCTGCAGGTATGGTCGTTAGTGACAAAAAAATTGAGATGGCCTAGGACTGCTTTATGCATCAGTCGTGTCTTAAAGAAAAACTACATTTGAAAATATATTACCAGAAAACTTACTATAGAGATCTATGTATTTGGATAAAATTAATAACTATTTAAAAAATCATATTTTGTAGAAATTGTTCCGATAATGCCTAAATGGGTGAAAATTTAGCTTGTTTATGAGTAAAACAATTTAATGATTGAGACTGCTGAGGCCTACATCTCATTTATAATGGTTTATAATGAAAAACCACTACACATTTTAAATATATTTGTTGAATAATTCTGTGTGTTTCCATTGAAATAATGAAAAACCAAATTTGTGACAATAATGACAAACAAAATGGTGATTATTGGACTTAATATATTCAAAATTGAAGATTTTATTCATTAACAGTAACAAAAGTTGGTACAATAAGAATTTCATCCTTAAGATGTTGTCTATGTTGTTACATAGTTTTATGAACATAAAAGACTTATGTAAAGACAAGGTTCTTATGAAGTATTTATAATATCTCATACATAATTAATTAATTATTTAGTACTTAATTCTTGTGCATTCCTTGTTTAATTCCAATAAAAATTCTTTTTAATATATTTTACTGATGTGCCTTTTTAATTTTTTGTTCATTTGTATTTATTACAATTCTGCTACATTTCCAGGGCTCTTGGTTATGAACCTCCTAGATTTGTCCATTTGCCTCTCATACTGAACACTGATGGAACTAAACTTTCAAAAAGACAAAATGATATAGCAATAAATTCTATGAGATCGAAAGGTGTTTTTCCAAGGGCTTTGCTTAATTTTGTAATTCAGGCTGGTGGAGGTTTTCCCAGTAATATAGACCCCAATTCTTCACTTGAACAACTTATTTCCAAAGTTAGTTTATTAATCATTACATGGAACAACATTTCAAATATTTGCTTTATTATTATTATTATTTATTTAGAAGATTGTTATTATAGTTTGATTTAGGTAAAGTGAATACAAATTCTGGGAAGCTGCCTAATGATAGATTGGGAGAGTTCAACAGATTAGAGATTACTAGGCAGAGTAAAGATGAAAAGGAAGTTACTGCATTAGTGAATGAAATAAAATCCATTGTCGCTGATACTTTTCAAAGCAGGTGAGAAAATTTAATTTAATTTTATGAGTTTATATCTTAAATATTTTAATTGTTTTTATTGAATAATAATAAATGCTGTCTCAATCAAGTTCTATGATAATTGTAAGAAAATAGTACTTCATATTTACAGAAAATATAAATAAATTAAATGATGACATTATAATAAATATTAATAAAAAAAAATAATAAGAAAATAATATTTTATAAACTTAAAATAAAGTAAACATCTTAAATACAGGCCTACTTAACTATCACTTTTATCTTTTTTAATTAGGAGTAGAGGGGGAGGATGAAATATCTACACATTAATTTTTTTTTTAACATTGGTGATGGTGTAATTTTAACAAACTGCTAATAGAATCGTAACTAGAGCTGGTTAACGGACTACTCGTATTTAACCTTTTAGCGACGATGAGTGGAATGAGGGAGCAGCTTTGAAGATGGTACTAGCTAATACTTCTCTGTGCCTCTATAACAGAATACTTTTCATCACCTCTACTCACCACTTAGCTTTTTATTTAGAGCTTCATTCCAATGCCCATAATAGCCCAGTAACCTTCTCATGAAAAGAGGGGTCTAAGTTGCATCGAATGGGGTAGAAGGTTTAGAAGATTTTTTTTCTTGTATGGGATGTGACTGAGATGCAAAATCAAAGTTTTCGACCTAAGCGTCCCCCCCCTCCCCGAATCACTTTTTAAAATCCAAAAAACTACTATATTTTTACACTTTTTTTGGGTTTTCTCCATTTTGACCACAAAGCAGCACATTTTCAACAAAAAACAACCTATACAGTTTTGAAGTAGATTAAATATACCACAATTTAAGTCCAAAACAGGTTCGGTAAATTTAATAAGTTTTGAGGTACAGGTTTTCAAAGTTTTTGAAAATTTTCGAACTTGAACATTTTAAGTTATTTTTCTTGTTTGATCATATGTACTTGTCTTTATATCTTTAATAACCTGTCTTATATGGTTCAGTAAAGTAAATTTTTATTCATTTTAACACTTTGAAGAAGAGGTGAGGGAGGAGGGTATTATTTTTTAAATTTTGTTGATGCTTTATTATACTCTGACTATCCAGCTTTAATAAAAGACCATTTATGACAAAATTAAGCCAACCGCTGAATCTCGGTGACCGAAAAACTAACTCTAGTCAAAGTCGTCACTCAGCCATGTTTTGATGCCATTTTGCGAGAGTGCAGCCACTTTTTTTGTGAGAACATTGCTTTTTTTTAAATGTATAGTTACAAGGAACACAATGATATGCAATTTATAGTAATATGGAGGGAGAGTGCGCGGAAGGGGGGTCTGTGGAGTCTGGCCCATGGACTACACTCTTCCACCAAATTCCCCCCTCCTTCATCACTGCTTCAAAATCTTAAAATGAATAAATATTTACTTCGCTGACTCATATCAGATAGGTTATTGAAGCTAAAAGACAATTGCATATGATCAAACATGAAATAATTTAAATGGAAAATAAAATTTTCTAAATTTGAAAATCTGTATCTCATAAACTATTTGATTTACTGAGCCTATTCTGGTGTTAAATTGTAGCATATTTAATCTACTTTAAAAATGTACAGAATGTTTTTTATCGAAAACGTGCTCCTTCATGGATAAAATGGGGAATAACTGAAAAAAGTGCGAAAATATAACAGTTTTTGGAATATTCAAAAGTGATTTGAAGTAGTGACGAGGTTGAAAACTTGGATTTTGTATCTCAGTCATATTTTATACAAGAAAAGAAAAAGAAACCTTCTACCTCCATTCAATGCAACTTACAAAGTACAAGGTTATGACAAGGCTGGACTATAATTTCCAGCTGCAGAAAAATTACCGACTGCCTCATAGAAAGGCATTAAGACAGTTTGAAAGTAGAATTTATCACTGAGCACCCTATCATTTTTAATAAGAAGGAGCCCGACAGGCTTGCGACTCATATATGAATCCCAGTCACCTGGGTAAGGTCCCGTCTCGACTCATGTATTAGTTCACTGTCACCTGGGTCTGGTTCCCTCTCAATTCATATATGAGTCCACCATCATTAAATTAATTATTTAATGATGCATTAAATAATGGATTTAATCTGCATTTAATGGATTTAATCTGCATGGATTAATGCAGATATTTATTGATTGAAGATATCCAGATATTGTGAATTTTACTGATAAAATTAATTCACTGCTCCTGAAAACCATCTAGTGACTTGTAGTTATCTCCAAAGTTGAGTTTTTAATAGTTTATGGAGTTTATTTCCAAGTATTTTTCCTTTTTAGGTTTAATTCTGAGGATTTAGATATCAGCGACGAACATATTAAATCAGTCCTGCTGTGGAGTCTACCTAGGATACATTATCTCAATGATCTTGTCAGCAAGAATTTGGAATTTTTATGGATTAGGCCAAACTTCAAAAATATCAAAGCCGACTTTGATCCTGGTATGAAAATTTTTATTTAGATTCATGGTTAAATTATGTTATGCATTGAAGAAACAGAATTTAAATTTGTTTCCTTTGTAATTGTGTTGAAATTGGTTTTTTGAAAGCTTGTTCATTCTGCTTTAAATTCTCTCTAAACATTGTGATTTTATTGACATCAATTTTTTTTAAATATATCTAGCTCACTGTATATAACTATTACACACTCATTGGGCCATTTATTGATACTTTTCATTGGCTTTAGCAAGAGGAACTAATTATTCTGGAATTTTTTAAACTACTTATTTGAAATTATCACACTTTAATTTCAGCATTGCTCTTTAAAACATTGTCTTATATATATATATATTTATATTTCTGTTTTATTTGTCTCTTATGTTGCATTATTGTGAAATAATGTTTTATAGGAATTTGAATGGTTTTTATCATTTGTTTTAGCAATTTTAAATAAGCTTGAAAATGAATTAGTGCACATCGATTTCAGTAAAGAAAATATACAGCATATGCTTAAGTTATTTTCCAAAGAAAATGGTATTGTATTTAGAGATATGATGGGATTTTTGAGAATGTCTTTAAGTGGTTTAAAGGTAAAATATTAATTTATTTTTTAATTAAAATTTTGTATGTCTTTTGTCTATTTTAGTTATTGATTTATTCTTGTTTATATAATATTTCATCATATTAATTCTAACACCGCTTAACTCAATTTTTGATTGAAATGAGTTAGGTACAGATAAGTTTCATCACAACCAAGCAAATGGTAACCATACATATGTCATATATTTGTTCCTGAGATGTTTGGTTATTAGAATGTGTTCCAAATTATAAGAAAGAAATGAAATTAGACAGTTTTTTTAATCTCTTGTAATGTCAGAGTTTATATGAAGATTTTTTTCCTGGAATGCATTATTATTATCTAAACTTAATTTATACATTTTAGTGGAATTGGTATGCTCTCATGCTGTCCTTATGTTATTGTGATTAGTATTACTAGTTTGGTACTCCGTTATTAGTTCTGGCCTCTTCTTCCAGCTTCCTCCAAATGCATCTGTCTCTGACAGGCAGTATCCTATCTCTAAAGCTGAGTGTCATTTGCCAAAATATGAGACCATCATGCATTCCTTTCTGTCTTGAGTGCTGAATTCCAAAATTTCCTTTCATCCTCTCACAGTCCTTGAGTAACCATTTTTTTCTACACATTTTCTGTTCACAACCTCAATATCTTCTTTTCTATCAGCAATATGGCCTGTCTGTTTTCTTTTCTTGTGTCATTGCATTTAAGTATTTTAACTTAAATTTCTTTATTAAGGATAGTGTTTGCTTCTATCTGTACACACAAATATTTTAATTCACTACATCTAGAAAATTATCTAGTTAATCTCAATTGTGAAGGATGTACTTTCAACTTAGTGAGTTCAAAGGATTATGTCCTGTTCCTATCATATTTATTTCAAGGAACTGCCTGGAGTATTCTCCTTAACATTTTCTTCAGACATATTCGTATATCACATGATCACACTGCTTTGATGAAATTATCAGCTGGTCAACTGTGATGTAAATAAGCTTCCATTTCCATTTTACCAGCCTTCTATTTTTGTAAGAAAAGTGAATACATATACAGTTTAATCATAATAAACAGTTTAGGCTGTTAGTGATGGTAAATATATGGAAGGTTATAGTATGTTTTTTTTAATTTAGCATTCCAATCTGTAATGGTGCGGTTTAAAAAATAAAAATATATATTCTTGCAAAATTATTTTCCATATAGTTACAAATTTGCGTATATCAATTATGATATCTGTATTTTACTTATTTGTTTTATTATTTTTTTATTTTATTATTTATAGCAAGGTCCAGGAGTTGCAGAAATGATGGAAATTTTAGGCAAGAATTCTTCTTTAAAAAGATTAGAAAGTGTTAAAAAATCTTTTATGACAGTGAACTGATAAATACTGATATGTACTTACATAGTAAGATAAATTATCTTAAAAATATTTTTTATATTAAAAAATAAATGTACATATGCTACTCTAATGTTTGTAATTTCTTATGATACCTTTTTGTTTATCTTAGTTCTCATCCTGCTTGTATTTATATCAAATATTTTTGTTGAATTATTTTTATTCAAAACTATCTGTCTTCTAATTATATAATAATAATATCTTTATATTCCTATCTTTATCTATTTCTGTAATGGAAATGACTAAAATCACTTCATTTTTAATTTTAAATACATTGACTGTCCTCTAAGCATAGATTTATGTTATTTTCGAACCATGTATGTTCCAATCCAAATTGGAAGTATTTGTGGTTCACATTTCTCTGAAAGTACCACAAAATCCAAACTAGAATAATTTCTTTTATTTTTGAAGACAATCTAATGACGTCACTAATTTTGCAATGACTTCTCAATGATCCTGGATGAGAATTCTTTTTGAAATATTAAGTGATTTTGGGATGTTGGAAATAAAGAAGTGATTATAGTTTTAAATTAATGATAATGTTATCCTCCAAATTTTGAATTTCCTCTTGTTTTATGGTTATAAAAATCTTGCTTTTCCTGCGGGGATGAGTAATTGTTCACATAATTTTTTTTTCTGAAGAATTATAATATAAATTGAGATATCAAGGGGATAGTGAAAGATAATAGAATTATTTTTTCACAAGGGTGCTTCATTCAAGGATTATAGGTGAAAACATTTTTTAAAAAAAGGACTACAATGTTGAGGTTTTTTGTTGCCAAAAATTTCCTCAAGATAGTTCAAGTCTAATTAACATTTTCTAATTAACAGTTTTTAGTCATTTATGTATGTTAAAATAACTAAAAGCTTTTTCTACCCTGCTAGCTGCCTGATATTAGATGAAAAGAGAGCATTGGCTGGAAATAATTTATTAAGTTTAGCCCTTCTCTAGAGTTTTTCTTTTTATGACCAAGAATAAGAATCATAAAGATAATAAGTATCAGCATAATAAAAATCAGCATTAAATCACTCCTGGTGTATGGAACATTCACTAATTCATGAAAAACCACCTTTCATTCTCATATTTGGCGCATTATATATTATGTTAGCCCCCTTTGTCAATTTTTCTTATTTAACTTCGAATTTGTTGAAAGGATGGAAATAATAAGTAGGAACAAAAATACTCTTTTTAAAATTTTACATAAAACTATTCTATTAACCATTGGGCTAATATTTACCAGTTTTTGATGAACAGTATTCCAAGTTGAGAAAAGTTTGAACTGCTCATTTATAAATTCCTTTACTTCATTGTTTTTAAGTAAACATCTGAAATTTGGTTGGTTTCAGAGGAGAGGATTAAAACTGTAGAGTGCAATTATTTCTAGGAGCAACATAATATTTTAATATTTATTTAATCAACGGTCAACATTTTCTTTTTTTTTTTTTGTGATTTTTCATCTTACAAATTTTTGTTTCGGAATTGTAAATTTTACTAATTTTGAGGTTATTCTTTTGATACGTTTGATTCTATTGGTGGTGGATGTGTATAATGATAACTAACAGGCCCGTACCAAAAATTCGCACAGCATATGGTTATCAAATGCCAAATTAATAAGAAAATAAAATAAAGATAAAGGAATCAATTGTTACTTTATCGATAAATATAATCGACACAGGAAACAAAATTAATTTAAATCTTCATTTTTGTTTGGAACCAACATATTTACAAATTTCAATAAGCTGTATCTTTGCGAAAAACTGTCCGATTTCAATGATTTTTTTCATTTTGTAGACAATTTAGTAATGTTTGATATAATCATGGGAATAACCCAGGGAAAAGTATGTAATTTTTTAGTTATTCGCAAATAAAGTTTCTTTTCTTTCATAACTTGTTTGCCTGAATTTTCGGGGTGATTGGACTATTTTGTCCGCCTGAAGGAGAAGGAAGCCTTCGAAATTGGTGGCTCAATCTTGAGATTTGGTGAAGAATTAACGATGATATGGCTTGCCGATCAAAAACACCATCGATAAATAACATGAACTCCTCCTGTCTCGATCATAGAGACCTCAAGTCGACGAAATGAGACATGTATTCAATGAGAGTACTACCATTAATGTAAGCTTGTGTGGATGCGACCCCTATGCCTTGCGTTATCTCAAAAATAACAGGTTTTCTGGCTTAAAAACGCAGGATCCGATAGTTCCGGAGGAACTATCTGGGTCTTGCCTGTACGCATCAAAATCTTCAAGATCCAATTTGTCCCGCATCGATCATTTATTTTAGAAAGAAAAACAAAAGCGGAAAATATGATTCGCTAACCCCCCGTGAAATTCTGAATCCAACGTTACCCCATTCATGGTATTTGAGCATGACAGGAGCTTATATTTGGTACAAAACCGATTTCGAGCCATACTGTAATAATATATGTGGGGATATGTTAATGTATATGGACTATTGAGTAGATGTTCATTAAGGATATGAAAAACATTGACCAATTGACTCACAGAAGACTTTCTGACAGCGTGTTAAATACAATATTGGGTTTTTGGATTACTATAAGCCTACCAAATTTGTGAAAGTATAGAAAAAAATTGTCACATTGAAACTAAAACCAGCAATCAACATGTTGAATTATAAGACGGGAGAATTCATAGAGTCCATGGTATCCTTTTTCATCAAATTAATAACACCTGTCTAAAAGTTTGTGAATGGCTCTATCTTATCATAACCTACAAATTTTTTATTTAAGAAAATTCTTAGAAATGGGGTTTTCTAATTACTTTAATAAGGTAGTTTTTTTAAACTTTTTTTTTTTGAGAAATATTACAATCTGTCTCAATCAATGACATTTATAATAGTGTTGAGAGAGATCATTCACACTATTTACAATAAATAAAAATAAAATAAACAGACAAATAATAATAATAAAAGTAAAAATTAGCTACTAAATACTCATAAATAGCCATTTTATTAACACTTGAATCATAACATAATTTGATCACTAAATCAAAAAAAAAAAAAGGTGACCTACCAAAATATTAGACCATTTGCATTTTGACATGTGGATGGATATCGTGCCAAACGGCCCAATGTTTTTGTAGGCCAGATTTACTCTTTATTTTATCACCAAACTATCCTACGATTCAAGTGAAAAGCAATTGGATGGTCATGAGTTTTTAGTACCTAATTAAATAAACAAAGTTTGCTGATATCAAGATTAAAAAAACTTCTTAATTCTGAGAATTTCTATAAATATAAAATATGTAAGTTACCATGAGATGAAGTTATGCAAAAAGTTTTAGGCAGATGTTAATAATTTCATAACACTGGTTCGATTTATATGGTCATTGCTTTTAGTTACATACAAAATTCAATTAACTTTTAAGTAGAAGCAAATTTGTTGTACTGCCATGAGTGGAGTAGCATGGTAAATACTTCCACCTATCCAACCACTCTAATCTCCAAAAACAATTATTACTTTATGCTTAAAATTAGGTGGGATAGCTTTTAGATCTATATGTGCTTAATTAAGCTGTAAATATAACTTTACTAAAATTTTGTCTCCCCAGGCAAATGAGTAGTCTTTGGGTGTAAATTCGCCACATATTTTTTAAAATTAAATATAATTTCTTCGTAAATATATACTTTTGTGTTAAGTGCAGATAAAATTACTTTTTGTCATTACTGTTTTTCCTGCTTTAAAATTAACGATCATATGATGTTTTTTGCTGGTAGTTACTAATGGGCTAACGTTTTAGAAAGAACATTTTCCTACAAATGCATATTAATGGGCAAAAACGTTACATTTCACTTTTTTTGTTGGTAATAAAGAAGAAAAGAAGTTCATTTGACATTTAATAAAAAAAGGTTTTCAACATTTTCGTTGATTACTTTTTCCAACATTTGAAATGGTAATTATTTTTTATTGCATATTAAACAAATCGAAGTAATCGTAAACAGTTTTGCTTTGCCTACTTTTAGACATCCATTTTCAATTTTGTAATGCTGTACCCAATATACTACACCGATTTCTGCTAAATATTTTACAAGCACAGTCTTATAAATTTACTATATGAGAAGTGTAGCGGAAATGAATTAGAAGGAGCGCATTGCATCGAGATCATAATGCTATGGTCTCTTTGAGAGTTGAAAGAACCGTTTAATTATTAAACTAAACTTCCACGACAAGACGTAGTGATGGATGAGCGTGTTAGAGCGTTTCCTACTTTAACATTCTCGAGACTAGCGGCACCGGTTCGAATCCGGCCTGGGCGGGTAAAAGTTATTTCGTTGTGGGCCTACGGAAAGAATCTCTACTTTCATGCTCACTTTAGAATAGGTTTGATTGTACCTCTTGAAAAAATCATCCGTTTACCATAAATGGCGAGGTTGGTGGTAATCGAAAGAAAAATAATCTTCGACATAACACTACAGACTATGCCACAACAGAAAATCCCCAACTAAATCTCAAAAGGTCCTGGATGAGGAACTCATTATGCCTTTTTCAATACCATTTTTATTTATTTTTTTGTTGCTCCCTCCGATCCTCTATCATGCCGTTCAAACCATGTTGCGCACTTGTATTTGCTTGTTGTATCTATATGATTACTCGTGGATTTATAATAAAGACAATTATAATTAAATTTTTATATCTGTTGTTTACCTCGAATAGTTCGATGCTCGAAATCAGGAAATAAGACGGAATATTTATATCTAGTGTTTTTTCCCATATTTTATAAAAACGTGTAAGTTACGTTAGTGTGATGCTAATAAGATATGCTATGAACATAAGCTAGATAAAGAATGAATGGATCTGTAGCGATAGGGACGGTTTATAGTTTGGAGTGAAGGTGCCTCCCTTGGAAAGAGACAAGCGGAAACAGGTTGTCTTATCGCTGGCAGTTGGCTACACTGTTGCAGATATCTCCTCCTTTGTGTGGGACCCCCCTGCCTGTCACTTTTCACTATCTCCAGCTCCTGTCCCTCTATCACGCATAATAACCTATTTCTTTATTTCCATCCGAATTTACCAGCGTCGTTCTCCTGTAAATATTCTCAGAATTATTGTATTG